ATTCTAAAATATGGACGACAGGGCTTTAGTCTAAGTGAAATAAGGCAGCCACCAGGAAGAACATGCTGCATGTTCCATATATATGAGATATATGACATTCTCAACCTCATAAAAACAGAAGTGATGGTTGCCAGGGGCTGGTGGGAGAATAAATGAGTTGCTGTTCAATGGGTATGAAGTTTCAGTCTTGCAAGATGAAAAAGTTCTAGATCAGCCACAAAACATAGTGTTTAGAGTTTACCATTCCATAAGATGCTCTTAAAATCTGCTAAGAGATTAAATATTACAYGGATTTTTACCACAATAAAAATAATTTAACATGAATTTTCTGCATGACATTTGTGAACATTCAAAGCAGTTTCAAAATCTCTTTAAAGTTGTGATACTGTGTTCTCTTCTGAATTCTAATAGAAAAGCAAATGGAACCATTAACTTCAATATATCTATACCCAATACTGGAAAATATGTTTATTGCTTATCCATTAACACATTGAACTGATTAAGAACAAACTGATTAAGAAGGGACTAGTGGTCCCTTCTCCAAATTCAACAATAAATGTTAAAATTAASATTTTCCAACTCTAAGAAGAGATACTACATACTCCAGCATCTCTGTCAAATCTCTGTTTTCTAATACATGATTATAGCGTGCATCATAGAGGCAATGTCAGAAATMGTTCAAAMCAACCTCCTATTCAGAYGAATCAATAAATGTTAGTTTCTTGCCACCATCATAAAGAAGTCACCACAAACTTGGTAGCTTAAAACAAAACAAAAAATGGAGTTTGGGTCCAGCTCAGAGGTAGAGCACTTGCCTAGAATGAATGAGTAAGCRCTAAATTCAATCCCCAGCATTGCATTAGAGGAAAAAGAAGAGGAGGAAAATAAGGAGGCAATATATACTGGAGARGCCAGAAGTCTGGAGTGAAAGTATCTGCAGGGTTGGATCTTTCCAGAATGCAAGRGTGTTCTTGGCCTCTTCCTGGAGCTGGTGGTACTGGCATTCTGTGGCTTGAAGACACTTCACTCCAATCTCTGTCTCCATGTTAGTACTTTCTCTTTTTTCTGTGTGTTTCTCTCAAAGTTCTCTCTGCTTGTTCCCCTTAAGGATAYATGTGATTAGCTTAAAGACCCACCTGAATGATACAGGATCATTTTCTCCTGTCAAGATCCTTAACTTCAACATAATTTATGTAATATTAAGTAATATTCACTCATTTGCCTTATCAAGTAAGAGTCATAGGATTCAGGGATTATAAAGCGGATGTTGGAGGAATAGGTTTTTAGCTGACCACCATAACCAAAGGTGTTTTTACTTTGCTCTTTTTATAATTTTTTGCTAATAAAAACTTTTTGTGAAAGTGAAAACATTGGAAAATTTTAGAGATACATGAGCAAAGAAAGCATGGCTGTATAGTTCTCTCTGCAATTTTAATCTCCTACTTTTTATGTGAGAAGAATCYAGATAGGTATAAACAGCAATTTGGAACTCTAAGATGCATAGGAAAGCTGAACAGAAAATCTATTTCTAGTTTCAATGGAGGGATTAAGCCTATTTCCAAAATACCTGCAAAAAAGGCATACACCCACAATGTTTTATTGATATTTTTTATTTAAACTTAAAAGTTATATTAGTAAAAATGTTGATTTCTAATAAATGTCTAAAATAGCAATAGGGATGGATCTGGAGAATATCAGGATAAGTAAAATAAACCTGACCTCCAAAACAAAGGTCAAATATTCTCTCTCATATGTGGATGCTAACCCACAACAAGGGGAGCAGGGGGAATAAAAGTTCAGTGTATAAGAAAAATGGAATGAAGGGAAGGAAGTGGAGATAGGAAAAGGAAAGACAGTATAATGAATTTGACATAACTTTCCTATGTACATATATGAAGACACCACAGTGAGTCTCACCAACATGTACATCTATGAGACTAGGGTTCTAATTAGAATAAGATATATTCCATTCTTGTATAATTATATCAAAATAGACTGTACTGTTAAATAATTCTAAAAAGAACCAATAAAATAAAAAAATAGCAATAGATGTTATACATACATATATATGGGCATATGTATACACGCATACATACATATTTATACACATACATATATATACATATAAACAAATCTAAACTTAGAATATTATTCAAGCAGACACCCCCACTAAAATTGGGACAAGGAAGGTAAGAATRATCTCTACTTCTGCTCAACATTATTCTGGATGTAATTGCTAATTCAGTTAGATTAGAGAAAACGATCAGACACCTAAGACTTAGAAAATAAGAAATAAAACTCTCTTTGAGATAATAGGTTGATATATATCTGGAACAATCTTAAAGGATCAATGATTAAGCCAATTCAAAAAATAGGAGCATTCAGCAATGTACAGGATTAAAAAAAAACTACATGAAAAGCAGCAACATTTGTATAGACAAATAATAATTAKAAGATTTGGTGGTAAAGCCAAATTTTGTTTACATTGGTCAAAACAAGCCAAAAAATAAACTTAACTGTAAGTACTTAAAATTGACCTGAAGTAAGAAGTAAAATGTTCCCAAGAGTTATAAAAGTTGATGTGAACAAATGAAAAGGCACCCCTGGTTCTTGGTGAGGATTATTAAAGTATTAGTTCTCTCAAAATTTATTTACAAATTAAATGAAATCTAAAACAAACTTCAGTGAGCTTTTCTCTAGAATGAAAGAAGTTAAACTTAAAATTCACATGAAAAGATGAAAACATAAGAAGAGCTAAGAAAATACTGACAAGGAAGATCTTGGTGGTGTCTAACCCTGGAAGATATCAAGATACACCCAAAGCCTCTATAATTAGAGCAATGCTGTACTGACTGACACATGCACAGACAGACTTGTGGGATAAAATGGAAAGGATAGAAATGGACACATCAAGACTTAGCTCGATTAATCAATCTATCTATCTGTATTTTAGGATAGTGGTAGTATTGAAATAAGTCGATCAAAGATTATACTTTAATAAATGGTAAGACAAGTAGTCAGTTTGAAAAATAAAATTGTGTCCAATTCTTATATCACTCAAAGWATAAACACTAAATTTGTATCTAAATATAATAAAATGAAACTATACACATGGTAGAAGAAAGCAGAAGTGATGAAATAAGGATCAAGAAATCTAATAAATTTACAATAGTCTTAAAACAAAACAATTTTTTAGCACTAAAATTAACCAGAACTGAAAGATGTCTAGAGGAACACAATAAAACATTATTTTTCTGTAATATTTAAGAGTTACTTAAAAGTATACAAAATGTACAGTWACTAAAACAGCTAATTTATTTCTTCCTCCTTTGAAAGGAAGTGGCTTCAGTTGTCCCCCATGTATAGAACTCTACAAAACAACGTATCTGTAATTTGTAACATAAATATTGCAATGTTAGTAACAATAYTGCAACCTTGTTTTTCAAAGTCCACTTTATTTTGATCAGTTCAGTATACTACACTGATTATTTTAAATTATTTTATTATTCTTTTCATCAGAATAAGAAATATCATTAAAATGTCTATACTACTGGAAGTGATTTGCAGATTTAATGAAATCCCTACCAAAACAYCATGGATGAATTTTGCTGAATTATGCAATTATGTCTTACTCATCAAATTCACCCCACTGTGTCCAAAAAGTTTTTAGCCTCAAGGTACATCAATATTRGTGCTGTGTTGACTTTTAGGTTAGAATGTCATGTCCTGTATCATAAACAATGCATACATACAGTGAATACATTACAAATGTTGTAGATGATCCGTTTCTTAAATTAAGTAAAAGTAGAGCATTAAACTGGTGTATATCACATCTACATTTCACTGGCATTTTTACAACTCTGACCACATTGAATGTAAAATGGCCACTGGTTATAACAATATATAATAATAAATCTTAATGGAATGATCTTTAACTCCAAGCCACAATGATGGTAAATATTCCCATAGTTTTAAAAGATACCATTTGGAGAATAAATATAGAATAAATATTTTCAAAACTAGGAACTGCAAATAAAAACTCACTTCACAAAAACACTGTTGTTCTCTTTAATCCCAGTGAATATTCATATCCTAGATGCAAAGCTATGGACTRTGAATTTACCTATTTAACATCTATCAATCTGTCATCTGTTTATTTATTCATCCATCCATCTAAACAACCTACCTATCTACCTTACTCCCTATCTCCATCTATTATCTATGCATCAGTTCTCTGTGTGTGCACTTTTATATTTCCTATGTAAATGTTTTATTTTAGCTATGTGATTTTTTTCTTCTATTKGGCAATCATTTGTGAGAAAAGGAAAAGTATCTTCCCAAGCCTTTATGGAAATATGCTATGGTTTAATTCATGCCCAGTTCTGTATAATTAGTGATTCTGGCTAAATTTTATAGATAAATTACAATTTATCTGTAAAATTATATCCTTGTTATTACTGAGATTGCATTAGCAACAGCAGCAAATATTTATGATGGCTTAAGGTAAGTATAAAATAAAACAAAATTGATTATTCAGAGGAAAGACATATTAAGTATGTCATTTTATGCAAAATACATCATTACCTGTAAAGTTTTCTTTTTAAAAAATGTTTTAAAATCTCAATGTTCTACATATAAATGCTTACATTCACATTTTGTACTAGTCAGATAAATTATCCTGTTTATCAAATGAATTTAAGTAAACTTCTTTGGAAATATAATTCACTGCTTATCCAAGACTACATGGATGTAACCAGGGAAGCGGGGATGCTAGAAGGGAAGAAGACACCTACACACATGAAAACCTCWAATCCCTTCAGGACAAATATTAGAAGTGGCAGAACAAAATGTATATATACATTAGAAATATGAAGCAAAAATGTTTGTAAATTCAGCCTCCACCGTGAATATCAACATTCTCCAACTTTCCTTCCAAAAGAGCCTTGAGCATACCAGAATCAATTTCTGCAGACCAACAACACTTTTCCCTTCTCCCCCAGGATTGACATCTTTAAGTATGTGATCTACGGCATTGCAGCTGCGTTCTTCGTGTATGGCATTCTGCTGATGGTGGAAGGATTCTTCACAACTGGTGCAATCAAAGATCTCTATGGGGATTTCAAAATCACCACTTGCGGAAGATGCGTGAGCGCCTGGGTATGTTATTTCTCTGCATTTAGTGTTTAATGTGGGTTTATTTCAATAGCACACAGGTGTTTACATTCATCTGCTAAGAAAGTATTTTTTAAACACATTAACATTCTCTTCATTGATGGGCTATCTTAAATCTTGATGACATTACTTCCAAATTAAGATTTTTTTTCTTGTGAAAATTCTTTTCAAATTCTCAAATTATATGCAGTACAACTTGCTTTGTTTCTAGAGGCAGCAAAAGTGCCTACTGATTTATGATTACTTTTTACAAAGGACTTTGACATTCCCATACAGAATAACAGAAAAATCTATTTCGAATTTATAGGCAATATGTATACCTGAACCCCACCTAAACATATCTCTATATTTTACTATATAAATTTTGGGGTAACTCTAGTATTTTGTGATGACTTAAGAATTATATGAATTTTGACCCTAAATCTTTCTTGATATGATATTTAGTGGTAAATCAAATTTATACTCATATTGCTAGACATACTACAATGTAGACTAAGCATTTATATATCTTCTAATGCACAGGAGTGGTGAAAATTCAGAGTAATATGGTTGAAAGTACTTTTGTATGTCTTAGAATAATTTTCTTATAATGAAACACTGAAGTTTTTATTCTATTTTTCTGCTGTACAAGACATGTGTTTAATTATAGAATATAATTCATATTAAGTATGCTTTCTAATACGTAATGATATCATTTACTTCAACCTCACAGAAAAGTTCAAAAATATTTGTTAACCAACAAACTTTTTCTTCCCTTGCTTATAACAAGTTCTGTGTTGCTGCTCAATATCATTAGGATAGGAATCTCAGATGAGAATTTGCCTGAGTTGTGAATATTTGTAGTTATCTATGGAATAATTTTTTGTGATACTCATTTATTTCTGTTTTGTGGACAATGCTTAGTTGTACTCAAGGAAGTAAAAGACATTAATGTGAATAAAAGTGGAATTTAAATAATGTGACTAAGGGGCTTTAAACTGCATCTACCACCTACATTCCTTGTAGCATTAATATCAAATTACAAATCTAGAATAAATTAATATACAGAAAGATCTTGCATTAACAAAAGCAACATAAATATTCAGTAGGCTAGTACTCAATGATATCTAAGCAATTTTTCTAGTAAAAAGAAAGCCTCTTATTTTAGAATCATTTCCATTTTGCCACTGTATTGAAATAAATTAATAATGGCCAGAATATAGCAAATTAATTTAATGTTGGTTTTTTTGTTATGATTGGGATAGTATTGTGATACCACTGTGAGCCTCAGAAATTCACTTTCCTCCTCTGGATCACAGTTTACTCATTGGCAAAATCAAGATCATCTCTAAAGTTCACACCAGCTCTCCACAAAGCTACAAAAGTGAACCCATGAGAGATAAAGGTGTCTGTCTATAAGCACATTTCTGGTATCAGGCCCTCTGGCCAGGACTATTGCAGTCAATTTTGTTGTTTCGTTCAGAATTGTAAAATAAATTCATAGTAAAAATAATCACAGAAGGAAATGAATATCTGTGGGTAACTACTTGTCTTTGTGCCAGTTAAGCATCTTAAAGGAATCTCAAATAACGACTTCTAAAGCAAATCATAAACCACATTATTTTTGTGTGTGGTAATAGGAACAATTGTGTCACTAGTCCCACCCAACAGGCTAGAAGGGTGGAAGCAGCTGTGTTGGTTCCCATGGTGGCTGTGCAGCAGAGATTCAGCCCATCAAGATTGCCCTAACTCTTTTAACACTCCCCCTGCCACCCGGGGAATGAACAGTACTGAGGCAGAAGTAGAAGCTGCATACCTCTGCACATTGAAGAGGGCTCTGGGTCATGCTCAGCTACCCCAACACTAGCTTCTTGAAGGGAACGACTTTGAGGCCCAGGAAGTGAATAGCTGTGTGTGGTCCATTTCAGTTTGGCTTCATGAAATCCTGGGGCAGGGGTCGGGGGAGATTTGCCCTCTGTGCTCTCTGGTACTTGTTTTCCTTTCTTTCTTATTTTCATTTTTCTTATTCTCTTCATCCTCCCCACCTCCATCTCCTCCTCCTCTCTTCCTTTTCCTATTTGTAGGTAGAATATATCTTCAAGTTCATTGAGTTAACCTGCTCTTCCTCTCTTCCTTACTTTTAAAAATGTCTGTGTTTCTGAAATTTTATCAATGCATTTCGACTAGTAATAGTAAATAATACTAAAAGGTGGAATCATTTTTTTTGCATCAACTCCATGAAAAGCTTCCTGAATTAATACTAGTAGAACTTTGTTATCCTATCCCTGTTTCTCTATACCACATAAAAAATAAAATGGTTACTAATTGAAACTACATCAGCACAAATGCAATTAATTTAAAAAGCAGAATTATATCACTAAACTTGGATGCTAATCAATATTCTTTCTTAGTGCTCTTGAAAGCACATTTGATCTGCATTGTTGCTTCCTCTCATGCCCTGTCAAGGCCCATTCAAATTCATTTCAAAAATTTGGTGCCATCATTCAAAAGTCTGGTGTGCATATCTGTGTTCAAATTTCCCTTCTGTATAAGGACTCCAGTCATACAGGCTTAGAGTCCACTCTATTGACCTCATTTTTTCCTTGCTTACATCTGTAAAGACCTAATCTCCACACAGGGTCACTTTCTGGGATACTAAGAGTAGGATTTCATTATATGATTTTGCAAAGACAAAATTGAATCCATAACAATATGTCCTCTTAAAACAGCAGCAATATACTATATACAGTTTTTAAAGCAACCAAGACAAGTGGTTACTATTATTACCTCATTTTGCAGATACATTTTACAAATGAAGAAACATTCTACTTGTTTATTTTTARATACCCTTCTTGTTAACCTTAGATATCGTAGCTTTTGATCACAGCATGTTAGGCTAGTACCTGCAAAACATACACTATATAATTAGCTTTCAATCTGTTCCATATGTCATAACTCATAGTTCATTTTTGTAGCTCAAAGTCAGTAATAATACTATGAAACATTGTTAAGTGCTTAATATGCCAGTTACCATACTCTGAACTTTAAAAACTATTAGGCCATTTCATCCTCCAAACAACTGGGTGAGGTAGATACTGGTACAACTTTATGGATGGCCAAACTACCAGGAAGAGAATTTGATAGCCACAATTGTAAATTGTCTCTTTTTGCAATAAAAGGATGCTGTGCAGAAGATAAAAGAATTCAGTACTCTAAGATACTTTGCCATGAGTAGGACGTTTTTGATAGCTATCTGTAAAGAATCTTAAGGTAAATTTGTAAGCAGGGTTTTCATCAAGGAAACCTTCATTCTAAACTGTCCCCAAAATTTATCTTCTTTTAAGATTAACACATATAAACAGACAAACAAAAAGCAATTTTTTGAACAAGACTGCCAATACAGAGTTCCTAAAATAAAGCCTCATCTCTCCATAGGATACAGCAAATCTAACACAGGGAAGTCACCCTGATTTTTTTCAGATTAGAACAATACACTTTAACCCTGGTTTTTCAGTAGGAAAAAMTAAAAATAAAAAAGAGGAGAATGCAGACTGTTTCAGGAAGACCAATAATATTTAAAAATAATGTTTCAAAAGTGTTGCTTTATGGAAGAAAGATCCAGGATTTTATGAGCTGTAAGTWTTTGAAGTAGATTTTCAAGTATGGCTCAGAACTAAACCCAAATTCTAGGACTATAGGCCAATGTCAGTGTAGCTACTGAGATGTTAACAGTCTCAGCACATAAAATGTAGGAGGAAACCAATCAAAATTCTCACTCATTTTAATTTCTTGCGGTAAAATTGGACAGAAATTTTTGATTAGCCTTATATAATGGCATTGGCCGAAATGAGAAAACCTGTTACAAAATGTAAAGAGGCTTCTAGTGTTAGATTTTCAAATATGAGAGATTTAGTGACAGAGGCTAGAAATGCAAAATTGAGAAAAAAAAGTTTAATCATGCAGAACCACTCAGCTCGCCATAAGTTCTGATTGTAACTCAATTATAATTAAAATAAATTCCTGAAATGTTAAGCCAACTTTTTTTTTTTTGGTTTTATGTTCTTTTTTGGTTGTTCTTTTGATGATTATTCAAGTCATGTTGTATAGTCTTCTGCCAAACTTTTTTTAAAATAMATTTTATGCATTCAGTGGGATTTCAAATTTCATTAGACATATCTTACATATCATCCTATGATATAATTTCTGACAAGAAATTTGTGATTGTTTATTTTTTATAATCCTAAAATAATTTTTTTAAGAAACAAGTGTTTTCATTTAGAATAGTTTTAGATTTACAGAAAGGCAAAGATGGTACAGAGTTTCCATATTTATGAAACCCAATTGTCCAATTACTAATATCTTACATTAGTATGGTACATTTATCATAATTAATAAATCAATATAAATATTTACTCTCCATTGAAGTCCAAGCTTTATTCAGATTTTCTTAGTTTTTACTAAATCTTTTTTTTTTTTCTGTAACAGTATCCTATTAAGGATTTAATCATTTTTCCCTAAGCTACACTGACCAGGAACATTTTCTTTWCATTTTTTTAATATTTATTTTTTAGTTGTAGTTGGATACCATATCGTTAGTTAATTAATTTATTTTTATGTGGTGCTGAGGATAGAACCCAGGGYCTCGCTTGTGCTAGGCGAGTGCTCTACCRGCCAGCCACAACCCCAGCCCAACTGGGGACATATTCTAAGAATTGCCTTGTTTTTGATAACCTTGACAATTTTGAGAAATATTAKCTATGTATTTGGTAATGTTACCTTGGGTATAATTTGTATTTTGTTTTTCTCATGATTAGACGGTTTKGGATGAGGGATTGAAGACCACAGAAATATGTCTTTCTCATCCTAAAATATATCTCTGATGATAAGTAAATCTGGAATGAAGAAGAAAAATATTTGGGGTAGGGAGAAATTCATAATGTTAACTCCATCCCATAAATATACAAACCTGGGTCTGAGGCTGTGGCTCCATGGTAGAATGCTTGCCT